TCTTCAGATAGACAGCGTATTGCACCCACTGTCTAGTCGATTTTGTGGATCGCACATGAAATGGATACACAGACAAAGCAGGCCAAGTACATGAGAGAGTGGACGATGTGCGGATCGACACGGCCTGTGGGTACTTCATTAAAGTTACCCGTGACATAACTAGGATAAAAGTTAATCACAGCAAAGACATTGCCAAGTATGTGAGCACTTTGGACTTGACAGAAGAGTGCACGGGCGACGTTGACAAAACATACCGCGGTGACTGTCACCATCATGACAGCAGGGCACATTGCACGCAGCATCGCAGATCGTGTCGAATTGCGCATCATAATATTGCAAAATTGCTCCTGTGCATGCAAGTGGATTTCATTGCACTTCTCAGTTTGGGAAATGCTCGATTATGACAATTCTGCATAAGTTGCGAAAAGCTATGGCATCTTTGGGAAAGGGCTACTCATAGCCTACCTCACGACCTTCTGCTTTCTTTCTTCATCACTTGTATCTTGCAGGTATATCATCCCGTGACGACCACATTGAAGTCTGAATTTGAAGTGTGAAGATGCTTCAGCAACCACATCGTACTTTTCCATTGCTTTCATTGTGCTTCTACTGTACATGTGTGTAACTTGTGGGGTAAACATGTGATGACATTGTATGCTGGCGACACGGTCAGATGTTGTCCATGCGTCTAACGTAAACCTGCATGTTATGCATTGAAAAGGATTTGCCACTTGCGATCCTGGGACGAGTATCAGGTCAGCTTTGTCCTGTGTGGGCTGTATCAGATTGCTGTTCACTTCTCTATCTGTTGGATGTGTGACTTTCTGCAAGTTTCTGGTGTATGATGGCCACTTCCTTGCTTGTCACTTTGTAGGATATTACATTCTGTATTCGCTGCTTCCATGGCGTGGTCTGCAAACTGCAATCCTTGGGCAAATGTCATGTTTGCTATGTTGTGCTTTGGCCGTCAGCTTGTCTACATGCTGTAGTTGCATTATTTTTGTTTCACAACTGACTTCCTCAAGTACGGTGGCCACTGCTTTGCATGGCATTATATATGAAGAACTTAGTTTCCTGTTTGTGTCGTGTGCATGTGCGTGGCCACGTGTGTGTGCCGTGTGCATACGCATGTTTGTGTATCTGTGTGCGGGGTAGCGAGGCGGGGAGGGCTGGTATGTATCAGTGTGTTATTGCAATCTCATGGCTACATACAGTACACCGCGCGCGTGGTCATCATGTTTACCTTCGGGGTTGGGGTGGGGAGGGAACGGAAAAAGAACTGAAATTATCCATATAAAACCACTCTGTGAGCGGTTCTGAAAAACCTTTACTGGTACTGCCCCGTCGTAAAAGTAAGAAATTAGAACTGGCCCATTGTCCCCCCAAATGCGAACTGATCCACCTAAATCGCGAATGACGGGACCCGAACGCACCAGTAGCACGAGGTTCCTACCTGTGAATGCAGATGGGGACGTTGGTCCGGACTATAGGCCATGTACTGACCGTCTGTACTAGCGGTAGGTGGTGTTACCCTATGAGAATTGCTGTCCTGTGCCCTCCCGACCTCGTGCTACTGGTGCGTTCGGGTCCCGTCATTCGCGATTTAGGTGGATCAGTTCGCATTTGGGGGGACAATGGGCCAGTTCTAATTTCTTACTTTTACGACGGGGCAGTACCAGTAAAGGTTTTTCAGAACCGCTCACAGAGTGGTTTTATATGGATAATGAACCTATGATCCCTACATAGTGCTCGCTGGTATGAACGTCATGAAAGCCGCAGTCTTTTTGATTTGTTCTTGTTTACAGTTTGACTGATTTTCTTTCTTTTTGTCTGAGCTTGTTTTTCTTGTAGCTTGTGAAATTGAAGCAGTTATTCTATTATCCCCTGCTATATTTTGCTATAATATTTTAGGTTGATCTGTTCGTATAATGTAGTTTGAAGGTGGAAGAAGAAGCGCAGATTATTAGAGTTGGAAAGTCCATACGAAGTGCTTCAAAAACTAAAGATAGAAATGCGGAGTCATTTTGGATTTCCTTTTAGGAAATAACTACGGTGTGTTTGGTCAAAGCACAGAACCCAAGTGGGGTGAGGGGGAAATTGCGGAGCACGTTAATGCGACTGAGAATGTTCACGTCGAGGAGAGGTACATTGTGTGTGTGTGTGTCCGTGCGTGCGGGCGTGTGTGTGTATGTGTGTGTATCGTTACCCCACGCAGCAATGATTATAATCATGTTCTGAGTTGTGACCACATACAATGTACTAGTACGATTTCAGTTAGCAATTGACCACATCTAGAGTGGCCATGGGGTGTGTAGTAGCTGGAAATGCAACTCCTACAGGTGCAAGTGTGTGCTGTCTGCAATGTTATTGTGCCCATATATAGACAAGACACATTGCATATGACCACATATAGCTAGAGTGACCATGTATAGCGACCTTTGAACAATTTGACCATATATAGAGCAATGACCACATTATAGAGGATTGCTGGGCTACTGAGTCCTACATGTATATATATACACACAGAAGGTGCTTTGTGAAGCCAGCCAGTGAGGAGCACACCTCACCTATCCGGACACCGAAGTTGCGAGCACTCCGACCCACTAGGCAGCCCTTGGGGAGGGGGTAGTAGATATACGGCACCGTTTTGGTCACTTGTCCAGCTGGTGACAACATATGCCGTATCACTGGCCTTTCCTCCCTTCATCAGGTGTTATACGATTTGGAGTATTGGATACAGGTACATGTACATTTCAAATCAATGGTTAGTACCTTGCCCCAGACTGGGCGCATAAAAATGAATCGGGTACATATCATTGCATTAGGGCTTGAAAGTAATACATCACAGCGTTGCCACGTGGTGCTAGAATTATTTTAAGCATCCAGACTGTTTCTTGTTTTTGAGGAGCAAGCTGAAGGCTCGTTTTCGATACTTAAAAGTAAGCAACTTGACGCTGAAGATGCACAAAGTAAGCAAGTTTGTGCTGAAGATGCCCGTATCTATTGTCTCATCCCCAGATAGCGCTTCGTGCAAGGTCCATGAGTTCTCCGTTGAGAATGATATTGTGTTGCTGCAGGAGAAGGTACATGCTGATGACAATCCTTCCCGCCATGCCGGAACCCACAAGTCTTGGGTAATCATAGCAAGGAACACGGCGACCACTAGACTGGCAGGGCTAACATCTCGGGCTGTCAAGGAGCGAACGGACAAAATTGGGAAGGAGTATACAGCAAAAGACAACTGGCGTGCCAAACAGTCCGGGACGGATGAGCAACATACCAGAAAGAATGCGCCACTGATGGAAGCTCTTTCCTTTTTCGAAAAAGCTGCAATCATGAAACAGGAGTAGCAGACTACCTCAGCTCTGAGGAAGTCAAACGACCAGAGAAGTCGAGCAGAAGCAGAGGCCATGAGTGAAGAAGCCTTCAAGTGTTTGGGCAGCAAGACCCCACGAAAGTCAGGCAAGGAAATTGTGTACTATCTCCATTTTTCCGTTGTACACCAGATGTTGTACCTTTGATGTTGGCTTTATCTACCATCTCGTAGGAATCTCTGGTACTTTAGTCCAAGTGATACATGTATCATGAAATTCCATTTCTACTACTCTTGTGTACTTTCGCACATAGAGTGCTGAACAAGATGGGGGACAGCCGCAACCGGAAAAAGCCAAACAGGCTGGGCATGTTGCTACGCCAACTGCTCACCTCGTTTACAAGTAAAACAAGTGTAAGGATGATCTTGCACTGAGGCGAGAGGAGTTGACACTGGAGCGGAGGAACCTTGATGCCTGACGTCACGGCAATGGCCAACTTTGGTGCATCACAACGTAGCACGCAGTCCCTTCCACAGGTGGAATTCAATGTCCAACTTCTTGATGGCTCTGTCCAATCAGTTCAAGTCAGCGTTGTCCCGCAGATCTCTTGTCCTATTTGGAAGACTCCGCTGGACACAAAGACACATCCTTCGCTCAAACGCTTACCTCTTGCCGAGCCATTAGCACTCACTCGTGAACAGGTCGAGATTGACATCCTAGTTGGAACAGATTTCTATTATGACTTTGTGCCGACAGATCACACTCGCTTCACCGATGGCATGATTCTCCTAGATACCAAGCTAGGTTTTATCTGCACAGGAAAGGTTCCCCACTCCGAGCTGACCCAACGAGAAGAGTCCACTCTTGAGTGTTCCAAGATGCTGGACATCTTGGGCAAAATGGCCGAGAACCTTAGTTGATTGTAACTAAGCCTTATTCGTGTGGTGTATGTCTGTCTGCATGCCGTCTGTGCGCGCGGAGTGCTTAACTTGTTTTACGCTAATATCCACCAATATACGTGGCAAAATTAACTCGCACAATTAATTCCTGGAAACAAGGAAAACAGTGGGGCACAAGTTATGCGTTAGAGTCCACCAACTAAACCAGATTTTGAACAGCCAGACGTGCACAAGGTAGCACCAGACTGACAAGGAGTACTGAGACATTCCACGGCAAGGAAGTGAGCTTGAGCACTGCTCGATAGCGCTAATCAACCAGTGCTATCTTGTGCCCCACCGTTTTCCTTGTTCCCTTGTCATATTTTCCTTGGCTCACCATCCGAGTACTAACTAATTGCTGTTTTATTTTTATTATTTAAAGAAAATACACGTATCTGCTTTCTATGTTCTTGACCAGTGTTGCCTTGAAGCCGTTGTCAGGGTAGTGGGCAGAGCTAGGATCAGGCTGCACGGTGCGGTTTTGAGACATGACATTTTACGTTTGCCCGTGCCTACTATCAAGAATAAGAATGTACTAGCAAGGCATCCAGGGCATCATGGGTGTTTCCTATTGCCAGTTCTATTCCCATGATGGCTGCCCATTTTCTTTGCTCTCTTGTCGCCGGGTGCAACTCTTGGCTAATCCTTTTAACCAATACCATGCAGTAGAGTAGCACCATTGGTCGGCCTGCTGTATATGAAATTTACTCAGGGACAGAAAGTTGCACCAGCGGACAGACTCACCCTAGCACGAAAAGGCCTGGCAGCCAGCGCACCAGGAACGGTAGAGTCTTCAAAGTTACGTTCTTGGCCACCGTTGCGCGATCACCTACATGTACATGCAGTACAGACAAAGGCAAGAGTTAACAAAAATACGGCACACGGGCATCTTGGCTGAGGGCGATTTTGGTATTAAGGTAAGACAAGTGACACATGCACACTCAGCATGCAAGGAATATTTCATAGTTTTGCTGTCGGAGAATAATCAGAATATTGATTTCTCGCTTTCGTTCTTCACCGAACACGTCCAGAAGCTTTGCTATTTTTCAATTTTTGCGTGTATGGCATAGTAACAAATGTGAGCATGCAAACAGAGACAAAAAGACACTCACTCATACTGGATTTATTGTGACTATTACATGTTATCTTTTCGTGATATAAATTAGTGTGATGTTTCACCTGCCCTTCTGCGGAGTCCCCTTCCCCTGCCTCCATTTCTAGCACATAAATAGGTTGTTTACATTAATTTCTCACTGATGGTAATATCAAGAGTACATGACCAAGAGTGTGCAATTCTTATCTCGAGCTGCGATGGGTTCACCCACGGCGGAATATTTTTATTGCGTCATTCTTTGGCAGAAGTATGATGAAGTATGATGAAGTGTGTATGCTTTCCTGCGCTTATTTTGTGGATACTTGGTGAGTTTATCAGGTTAAGGACACATGGATCCACCGTCCGTTGTTCTGCTTCGACTACTGTAGCTGCGATGTACACATTCTTTGCACTTTGATCTCTGCCTCTGGCTACGAATGATGGCATCAGTGAGCCAAACAGCCGCGAAAGACTGATGCCATAACAATTCTGCAGTGGGCTGGCGTATCGTCGAGTTGCACACTCATGGTTTAATATGTACTATTGGTAATATTCTTTCAGCTATTGCACACTCGTGGTTATGTACTATTGGTAATATTCTTTCAGCTATTGCACATGCACTTATGGCTGTTAGTTACTATTATTCGCTAGCCCTTGATTCCTCTGAGAAGTCTTTGAAAACGTTCAGCAATAAAGCACGATAGAAAATGTCTTTGTTGTTGGGGCGCCTCTCGCTCTCTTCATTGCTACGATCGGGTGGAGCGCCAGGGATGAAAATTACATACAGAAGACTAACGGTTCGCAAGTTATCCGTAGTTGTCAAGTTGTCAGTACCTGACAGCACCCGACATACAACATCAGGTTGCTGAATGTCAGCACCACCTGTCCATATTGTGCTAACTGTTGAACATTCTGACTCACCAATATCAGTTATACCCAGTGATGCAAACAAAGAGTCGAATATTCGAATATGTTCGAATATCTCGCTCAAAAGAATATTCGAACCTAAAGTATAATATAGTATAACTTATAATTATCAGTATTGAACAACTACAAATAACTTGTAAACCCCTGGCCTTCTCTATTTACATAAATACTGTAAAACGGCTAGTTTTGGCAGGTAAAAACTTAGGCAATTTAGAACTAGCATGAATGGGTGACGAAATATTTTAGCGATCAGTGTTTCACTTTCATATCTGGCTTGCAAGTGTTGAGTTTCGGAGAGAAAAGAGCATTACGTGGCATGTGGCCTAAAATTTCCTAACACTTTGAAAATTCTCCGTGAAGTCCAAATTTGAAATTGCAAAGCGTTTCACATCGTAAAAGAATGGATCCATATCATACTATGCAGAGCGCAAAGTTTCGATTGGCTGGTCTAGACTTCAGGGAATGCACCCATTTAGCCAAACTCGGTAAAACTTGCACCACCGCCAAATTAGCCGTTTCACAGTACAGTTTGGTGATTGAATATGCGAGAAGCCATCAACGTTGTTGCGTCCATGCAATCACGATAACAAAGTAGATACTTACCAAGCGCAGTTAGTAGCGGCTCACTGAGTGACAGTGGCAGGACATCTCGATTCAAATCTATAAACACTGGTACGATCTGGATCAACACACACACACACACACACACACACGGAACAGCATGCACAGTGCACATGTCGTGCGCCTTACAGTCACGTCTCGCTCCTCTGCCCCACCAGCAACACACGTTCATGGACGGGCCACGGGTGGTGGGGCGCTCCGGCGGTATTCTTACGGCACGTGCTGTGTACACCCCCACTCTGTGTGTGTGTGTGTGTGTGTGTGTGTGTATGTATGTGTATGTGTGTGCGTGTGTGTATGTGTGTGTGTGCGCACGTGTGTGTGTGCGCACGTGTGTGCGCACGTGTGTGCGTGTGTGTACGCGTGTGTGTGCGTGTGTGCGCACGTGTGTGTGTGTGTTGTAAAATGTTGCTTTGGGTTGTAGTGTGAGCAAACAATTTCTTTGGCTACCTGATCCAGGAGAGTTTTGTGTGACCATTTAATAGTTACACCCAAGGAAGATTCCAAACACCATTGCTGTACAGGGCTTGAAAGCGCTATGTACACACACACACACACACGCACGCACGCACGCACACACGCACACACACACATACACACACACACACACACACACACACACACACAGTATACAACCAACCTGCCATATGTCAAGCTCCTTGTTGACCACTGCTAAACACATCAAATCCACAAGTGGGTCAGATATTACCTTCACCTGAGAAAACAAAACAAACAAAAAACAAACAAGAAATAGCAGGAAACTTCTTCAATAACATTGAGAAAAAGGATATACCGGTACTTCAGGCTCTTCAACACCATCTTGAAAGATGTTCAATAGTATACTTTCAAGCCTTAGACCTTCTTCACTTTGCCAATAGCAGGAATAGGTCAATGCAAGTTTAACCGGTAGGTCAACAGAAGGTGGTCTGATGTGCGAAGCTTCAGCACACGTACTTGATACTCTTGCAGAAAAAGCACAAGAGACAGGCATTTTCACGAGATGTCTGAGAAGCTACATACGATTCCTAGGACATACTGAAGACCAGAGAGGTGACAAGAAAAGGAGAAACAGGCTGCAGAAAAAATACTTCTTCAGTATATTTTTGAACTTGGCTGAGAACTGATTGAGCTACGATGGATTGGAGACCCCCATATCTATCGTATTTGCCCGAATAAAAGTGCACCTTTGTACACCTAACTTCAGGGCCAACAAAGGGGTGCAACTTGCAATCTAGCATGACTTACTACAGAAGTGAATATGTTGAAACGATACGACATGGACCTGGAAATGGGGGGGGGGTGCGACTTACAATCGAGTGTGACTTACAAATGGGGTAATATGTTTTGCACATGTACCCAATGCTGCACATGTATGAATGTATGCAAGTATGTATGATTGGAAACCGAACAATCACTGCCAAAGACACATTACAAATTTACAATGCAGCATTGCAAGACCGTGTACTCAGTACCCCCCCCCCCTTCCACATTGCCCTGCCCTGCACGGTTCGGCTTGGCCTGGCCCTGCCTGGCCCAGCTCAGCCCTGCCCAGCTCAGCCCTGCCCAGCTCAGCCCTGCCCTGCCCTGCAGAGCCCGGCCCAGCCCAGCCCGGCCTAGCCCAGTGGCAACAGTTCAATGAACGGTGATCTGATCGCTCACTTACTCTAGTTGCATGTCGCACAAAGTCGATGACAGCCTTACTCCACTTGGCGTAGTCACGCGCAGCAAGCAACGCGAGCCTCTCAGCAACACTCTGGAAATGGCCTGAAAGGACTTCAAACTCAGCAGTATTAACATCATCAATCAAGGCCGTCCGGAGGCACACGTTGGCCTCACTAAGCGTCTCTGGTGTCAACGCATCCGTCTCAGATAGGAGAAAGTCAGAAATGACCAGAAGAAGCTGCAAACCAGGACAGAATTCACATGAAGAAATTTCAAAACGAAAAGCAAAACATGTAACTTGACAGTCTGCGCAAATTTCATAATTAATTTTTTATGTACTGCCGTAAAGTACCGCGAGAGCGCTGGGTTCAAGCTCGCTTACCCGACGGCATGCTTCCGTGTTGCCATTGGCGGCTGACAGCTGTACGGCCTGGCGCAGGAGGTGCGGTTGGCGATTGTCGATCTTCTGGGCGACGGCGGCCTCATGGAGCGGGCGCAGCAGCTCTGCCCAGGCAGCTTGCTGGCTGACGGCGGCCGGTGCACACGCGTAGAACAGCCTGCCGCTGGGGTCGTTCAGACACGCCGAGCTGACGGACATGAGCTGAGCCATGTCAGCCTGCACGCAGTACTGGTTTACGGACGCAGTGCTGATCTTTCGCAGCAAGACATTGCGATACAATTCAAGAACTTGCTGATGTTCCTGAGAGTAGGGAACACGAGATCACACCACGTACACAAGAATGGCAATCTTTGAGGGGCAGCATTCGAGCCAAGCCGGCCTGTGCAAAGCGGGATCCACGGAAGCGCTTTTTTTCCCGATGCAATGCGCGATGCGACGACCGCGAAACCGGGAAAACCCCAAATCGCATGCATCCCACAGCTCACGAAACTGTTGCAACTGGCAAAACAAACAAGCCAAAAGGAGCACCTTGTGATTTCCCTGCCATTGGCAATCAGTGTTCATTGAGTACATAATTACTGGAAACCTGCCAAAACAGGTATATATAGGTATGGTCAATCAGGACTCAGATTTTCCAGCAATGCGCAAGCAAAGACCCATAGCTACCTACCGGAATATCAATAACGTTCGTCTGAATCATTGCCAGAAAGCACTTCAAGAGAGATTCAAGCTTCAACGCCACCAATGCGCCCGTCACTGATGATCCCAGCGAAGTGTAGAATACACGAAAGGCATCCTTGTCCTGTGTGGCACACGCACACGTGCAAACATACCCACACCCACGCACACACACACGTGCACGGTCCGCAGAAAGAGAAAACACAGACTTGTAGCATACAGATGGCGGATGATAACAATAGCTCAGAGTATACATGTGTAGTACTTGCAGAGTATCGAACACCTGTCCATCAATCGATCGAGAAAAGAGAGAGAAAGGATGAGAGAAAGAGAGAGAGAGAGAGAGAGAGAGAGAGAGAGAGAGAGAAAGTGAGAGAGAGAGAGCCGCACTTTGAAACTCATTTGAAAAAACTCAAAAATCGCCCCTGCAGCGTAGACTCCGAGTGGTGGGTGTGAACCGACCAGCGCTACATCACTCCATGCAGATCATGCATGTATGATTGCTAGGAATGCATGTGGCATGTATATGCTACACCTTCTACCCTCTTTTGCATGCACTACTTCTCACTGCATTCATGTCCCCACACACCACACACTAGGTTGACCTTAGAAATTAGGGCTGAAACAATTATACCGAATACTCGAGTACTCGCTCGGTCTTTTCAAAAATAATCGTACTCGGAATAAATCAGAGTACTCGTTCATACATGGTACATGCATTTACCACAGATAGCTGCAGTTTCAGAGCAGCAGTCGGCAGATATTGATGTGCAGACTGTGTGGTGAACATTTGTTCACGAGTAGAGAGAGCCCAAATGACCCACCAACCAATATACCCGAGAAAAAATGACTGCTACTCGCTTCGATTAGGGTTGTATCATGTGATTTTAAGGCCCTTGGTGTGCAATTTTTAGGCGATGAAGAATACTCGAATACTCGAATATTCGATCGGAGAAAATCGGAGTACTCGAACTCGGGATCTCAGTGCCAACTTTCACCCCTATTAGAAATACTAGTACACTGTAGACTTTGCTATGCACAGCTTACACTTGCAACCGCCCGCTATTTATCTACACACTGGTTATGTTGGATGCTGCACCACGTATGCTGTAAATCTGTAGCCAGCTATTTTCTTCCAGATGGCAAGGGATCCGGATAAAAGAGAACCGGATAAGCGAGGTCTGACTCACTGTACTTGCGAAAGTCCCACCGGCTAAACAATCCACTTCGACAAGCTGAACCTGCTGAAGCATTGGTCTTCCAGTGTGTTCATGCAACATGTTGAATAGTGCAATCCCAGCTCAAAATGGCCATGCCTAGCATCAAGAGTGCAGTCGACAGGAGTATGCAACTGTGGTTATGGGTCAGTGCGCGGGGCACCGCCTTCATTACGCAACCTGCCTCCATCACGCTCTGAAAGCATGAACTCAAACCCACAATTTCTTGTACGAGCCCATCCGGTTTTGCTCGATTCATTCCAGCACCTACGCGATCTCTGAATTCTGGCGCATGAACTTCAGTTCCGTACGAAAGCTCACTTCAAACCAGAGGGAAAGTGCAATGTTTGATTTTCCGCAGTGCGCGCACTGCAGCTGACTGATGTAATGATGGCAGCGCACTGCGCATCTGGCCCATAGAAAAGAGATAAAAGTTGTATACTCTTGTTTATGGACTCTTGCTAGCATATAATGCAGTTTGCTAGAATCACCTTCAGTGACATGAAAGTGTATGCGTGTGTGTGTGTGTGTGTGTGTGTGTGTGTGTGTGTGTGTGTGTGTGTGCGCGCGGGCAAGTGACCGTGCACTTCAGACTATTTAAAAAAAAGCATGCGCACTCCACATGTACCTACAGATGTCTCCAGGCAGTGTTCAGCGATGATTGGCACGTACTTCTTTTTAACCATGCTAGGGAGGGTAGCCAGGCTGATAATAATGTCACGGGACAGGTCTGGATGGCCACAAAGATGCGACGAGCTGACTCGGAGGACTTCCCTCAAGTCAAGTTCTGGTAGGACTTGCAGCCATGAGTTACTGGCAAACAGCGGTGACAGTGTTTCAACGATATACACTGCAGAAGAGCAGCAGGACAGGAACAACAACAACAACAACAACAACAACAACAACAACAACAACAACAACAACAACAACAACAACAACAACAACAACAACAACAACAGCAGCAGCAGCAGCAGCAGCAGCAGCAGCAGCAGCAACAGCAGCAACAGCAGCATGTACAAATGAAGAATAAATAATTAGTTGGAGAGTTGCTCTGCTGACTTTCCGCAGTGAAATTGTTATTTTAGGAGCTGTCCAAGTGACACCCTGGAAGACAAATGCAGTCCCCTGGGAGTGGAAACTAACAGAAACTACGCACAAATAAGAGCGTAACTCCTGGCTGACTCCTTCGAGCACATACACACACACACACACACACACACACACACACACACACACACACACACACACACACACACACACACACACACACACACACACATGCGCGCACGCACGCATGCACGCACGCACGCACACACATGCACACACACACACACACACACACACACACACACACACACACACACACACACACACACACACACATGCATGCATGCATGTACGCATGGACACAGCTGACAACGAAAGCTGTGAACACATCTTAGCACTCAAGGCAAACCTTTTAGAGTCTCAGACTGAGCGGACTCAGCTAACTCCCACATGGGAGCAAGCAAGCGCAGGAAACTTGCTACATCATTCATCTGGAGTAGACTAAACCATTGCTTCTCAATTGAATAGTGAGCGTGAACTCGGTACTTCTTCCAGAACTGTCGAACCTAGTGGGTCTCAAACAAAACGCACGCATCCATACATGCACACACACACACACACACACACACACACACACACACACACACACACACACACACACACACACACACACACACACACACACACACACACACACACACACACACACACACACACACACACACACACACACACACACACACACACACACACACACACACACACACACACACACACACACACACACACACACACACACACACACACACACACACACACACACACACACACACACACACACACACACACACACACACACACACACACACACACACACACACACACACACACACACACACACACACACACACACACACACACACACACACACACACACACACACACACACACACACACACACACACACACACACACACACACACACACACACACACACACACACACACACACACACACACACACACACACACACACACACAAGTGCATGAGCACAGCCATGTACCAGTGATTCGTGTGTTGCAAAGCACACGACAGTAACGTGTGCAGAGTTGGAGAAAGTAAGAAACAAAACTGCCAAGTTGAAACACTCCGCCAATTGCATCAAAGCTACAACGGATCAAAAGCTAACTAAAACGACAGGCTTTTGTTTCCGTCATTTCTGTCATTTCATTGTGTCATCACGTTGTTCTTCAGACATCAATCCTGAATGGCATAAGCGAAAGTGGCACCCCCGCCACCTACGCGGACATGATTTTAATAATAAATAAATAATATCATACAACGGGCACAGGATGTTGGAATATGTATGAGCAAGGGTCAATGAACTAGTAGCTGTACTGCATCACCCATTGACAGCATGTGAACGTGCAAAGACCATCCGCCTTTGTAAAGACAGCGAAGCAGACAGTGTTCCTGGTCCAGAGTCGACCGATTCTCGTAGAATAGATTTTTGCATGGAAGACTCCCTACAGATGAACATCAACAGCTCCATCTAAGGTGAGGTTGGTAACAACGGATTCCGACTCGACTCGGGGAAAGTGTATTCACTAGGGCACACATGCATGGAGCATATTCCAAAACAAGAGATATGTATACATGTGTTAGGCTGCTAGCATTCTTTCAGAACTTTGGAGCTCATAGCAGCCCTGTAATCTTTTCACTACACGGCGTCGTGAAAAGATTACAACACCTCCAACTCGAAACACACCAAGTCCCCGGCTACACCTCGTACAACGGTTGTTTCCGAATTTTACACTTGAAAAAGAAAGAAGACGCTACTAGTACCCCTGCCTACCTCCGGAAGGACAATATGACCCTGGTAGTGTGGGCCATGTAGCCGTGCAGCTATCGTCCTAGCAAAGCCAGGCAGCTGTGGATTACTTGCATCCCTGAACGTCAACGCTCCCTGGCCCATTTGCTTCAGGAGCGCACAATACACCTGAGGAGAAGCAAGAAGAGGCAGCAGCAGCAGCAAAATGAAGCATTGGTTAGAGGATGGTTTGAACAGATTAGGGCAAAAGCGGCGAGTGTGTTTGCACCGATGCTAGAGCAGTACATAAATAAAGTAATTTTGATGGACGCCTCAAATGATACACTTTCGAATGCACACAACCCTCCGTTATCTGGTCCTCCCAAGTCAGATCGCCTCCCTCTAACTGTGTATGGGTGGGTGGGGGGGGGGGGGGGGGGGGAGAGAGGAGGAGGAGGAAGGACAGATGTTGCTTCAACGGAGCAGATTAAGAGACTTAACTACCAAGCCTAGCATGGCAAACTGAAGTGTTCATTTATTTTATTTATTTATTTACTGTCTGCACTTCATGGCACATAATGAAAATAGCCTATATAAGGAAGTGAGGGTGAAACAAACCATGTGCATGCCTATGAAGCATGGTGAGGCCGGCCGCAACCCAACTACAGATCTACTCTCCATATAAAGTAATCTCTGGGACCATGCACAGATTATTATGTTATATCGATAGTTAGGTTATGTAGAAAACCGTGTGTAAAATACAAGATGTAAACGTACCTCAAAATGACCGGTACTACAAGGCGGATTCAACCATGCAAACATGTACACACCGTACCACCATCGACATCAGATGCAATCAATGCCGCAGAATACGCACAATACTAATACTAGTAGTAGTAGGACTAAACTGGCCTAAACTGGCTAGCTACAGCTACAGCTTGATCGTACCGCACACGCGAGTCTACAGTACGTTGTATCGAGAGTACGCGCGTCGGGGACCGCGCCGTAGCGTGCGTTATGTCGAGGTTTCCGTTATGTAGGACTGAACTGGCCTAAACTGGCTAGCTACAGCTACAGCTTGATCGTACCGCACACGCGAGTCTACAGTACGTTGTATCGAGAGTACGCGCGTCGGGGACCGCGCCGTAGCGTGCGTTATGTCGAGGTTTCCGTTATGTAGGACTAAACTGGCCTAAACTGGCTAGCTACAGCTACAGCTTGATCGTACCGCGCATGTGAGTCTACGTTGTATCAGGAGTGAACCGCGCCGTAGCGTGCGTTATGTCAGGGTTTCCGTTTTAATAAATGAAAGTAGGATTACGTTGTGCAGAACAAAATTTGTATGGGAGTCATGCTGTTTCGGTGCGGGATTTGATTTTTTACGGACTAGCGAGGTTTATGTACAAGTGAGAGTTGTTCTATCGAGAGCAGACCTGTACTCAACTAAACACACCCAGTCCAAGGGAACACTAGACAAACAGTGCAGCAAGAGCGTTCCTTGAAATACATGTACAGGGGAACGCACTTCACGTGAGAGTTTTGGGACCAGGACAATTTCCTAAATCTATTCAGTGCAATGCATGCATACCGTCACATGATCCTCTCTCCCAGGCAGTTTGGCTTCCGCCGTGGACTTGGAACTGCCGGCCTCCTTACTGTCCTCCACCATGAGTGGTCCGGCACACTGGGTTGCAATGGAATTGCGGGACTTGTTGAAGTCGACATAGCCGGTGCTTTTGAAAAGTATTGCACACTGGCATACTGCACAAAGCTGAAATGTCCGGCACTGGCGGGTCAATTCTGTCTTGGCTTCGCTCATAGAGTCATACATTCAGGAAAGGAAGATGAAGGTTGTTGTTGGCGGTCAGACCTCCTCACACTTCCCAATCCGAGCCGGTGTTCCTCAAGGCAGTATCTTAGGATCAACACGTTTCCTTCTCTATGTCAACGGCATCTCTGATTGTGTCTCATCAGAATGCCATCTAGCATCGTAGGCAGACGACACAAAATTGTGCCGTGTACCTGGTGTACTGTCTGATACGTGCCGATGACGTGTCTCCTGCCACTTTCAACTCACTGCAAGCCTCCCTTGATGAGCTTTAAGCTTGAGGATCGAGATGGAATGTTCAGTTTGAGCCGACAAAGTGCCAGGGAATGTCGATAAGCAGACGAACAACACCCCTCCCACCATCTTTTCTCAGCTTTCATGGTACCCAGGTCAGAGAGGAAACCGATGTCAGGCTTCTCGGTGTGACCTTCGACCGCAAACTGTTGCTCCGCAACCACCAGGTTGCAGTCAGAGCCAGCCAGCGTCTTGGCTTCTTCAGAAAGGTGTGCCCAATACTTGACCGCAGCGGCCGCCTTAGTGTATACAAAGGCTTTATCCGCCCAACTATGGAATATGCTGCCCTAGTCTGGCAAGGCGCAGCCCGGTCCAACCTCGCTAAGCTTAACCGCATCCAGCAATGGGGCCATATGCAGCATTGGCCCTGGGACCATAAGCCCAAGCTTAGAAGTGCGTTGGCTAGTCTCAGGACTGTGCTACCTTTTTAAGCTGCAGTACATTTACGATCCGGTCCAGCTGACAGACATCCTGCCACCTGCTGCCCCTGAGCCCGACCACCCCAGAACCCGCCACCAACACCATGTGAAACTCCCACGCCTTCCGCTTGTCGAACCCCCTTCCCCCAACAAGTCATGACACTCTACACTGATCAGTCCCATTCGGCCTACTCTCCACATGGAATGTTCTACCCGCTGCCACCCCGAATGCTCCTCCATCCAAAGCGGCGCTGCAACGCTTTAAGGTAGCACGCACAAGTATAACCTTTCTCCTTTTTTAACCCCCCCCAGATGCACATGGTGTGCAAGGATACCGAGACATTTGGTCGGTGAAGTTCACAACACCCCACCTACACAGCTGCACTAGTGGATAGTCAGCCCCGACTCAATAGTTGTTTGTTCCGTCAACCCGCAACTTCTGTTTTCTAGTCGTATCTTCGTCCTCCCTGCAATTTTGTTATCTTTTTTGTTATTATTTTTTGCCTTGATCGAGCCGGGTTTGTGTCCTTTGTAAAAAAAATACAAAAGTAAAAAATACCGGTCTGAATTTTCATTTGCCCTAGGCCAAACATGTCGTCTTCTGCATGTTCGTGTTAGTAGTAAAACCAGGTCTCCCTGTAAAGACATGTACATAGTACTGTTTGAATTCTGAATTCTTTATTCTCACGATGGCACTATCGCCAATAAGAGCTGTTGTTGTTGTTGTTGTTGTTGTTGTTGTTGTTGTTGTTGTTTAAAGTCGCAATATACACACCAAGAAAGGCACCGAGGCAGGAACCAAGAGAGACATGCATTACAGGTAGAAGAGGGGTCGATCAACAAACAACTTCGTTCACCAATGAAAGGGGCCTGTATGAGCGTGCTTGGCATGAACTGTGTTGACTATGTGGGACAACTCTACTTTCAGACACCACCAGAAGACGACCAGAAGACCACCATAAGGGCGCCATAGGTCGGCACTATGGGTGATCTCTGGAAGCAGGTTAGACGTGTGTGTGTGTGTGTGTGTGTGTGTGTATAATAGGTATTCACTGGCCAGAAAAAGTCACTTCGATCAGCTGTGTGGTGGATACCAGGCTAAACATAGTGGCGGTCAATTCATCAGCCTTGCAAGCTGTTGAATGGTGTAATCCCAGCACAAGTTGCTATGTCTAGCATAGCTGTTCGCTATCATCGCTTCCGCGATGGGCAGGTCTGAGGTGTGTGTGTGTGTGTGTGTGTGCCAGCATAGGACATGCTACCGTACCTCCTGATTCGTAACACCCAGGGCATCGATCCCATTAGCCAGCGACCAGGCTTGAGCAGTTGACAGCCTGGATAAATCCATCGTTCGCACGCGACGGACCAGAGAGGACTGTGATGCAGAAAAACAAACAAAGGCAGTACAGTCGTAGAGTCAGCAGTAACTCCCAAACAAACAAACAAAGGCAGTACAGTTGTAGAGTCAGCAGTAACTCCCAAACAAACAAACAAAGGCAGCACAGTTGTAGAGTCAGCAGTAACTCCCAGACAAACAAACAAAGGCAGTACAGTTGTAGAGTCAGCAGTAACTCCCAGACAAACAAACAAAGGCAGTACAGTTATAGAGTCAGCAGTAACTCCCAAACAAACAAACAAAGGCAGCACAGTTGTAGAGTCAGCTGTAGCTCCCAGACAAACAAACAAAGGCAGCACAGTTGTAGAGTCAGCAGTAACTCCCAAACAAACAAACCAAAACAGCACAGCACTACTGCAGTACTGGGCATTTCTGCCATTATTCGAGTTTGAAACGCAAGAAGAATGGCGCTGCGTCCTGCTGTTTTTGTTGTTGCTATAAAGCGGCTGTTGTGGCCTGCATGGTATCATCGTTTCATTCGTACCTGACGATGGCAATATTGCCGAAACGTTACACAGTAAGAATGGGTTCGGTGATGTGCAGTGCTTTGGGAACGGATGCATCCGCCAAAAACACTTTCTATTGTCACAATAGCTCGGGCAAATTTGTTCTACCACCGGCACACTTCTTGCATCGTGCATACTACATTCACTGTCACTTTCTTTCAATTTCCAGTTTCTAGCCATAGTGTGGCTGTCGCGAGGCATTCACTGTTACCCGTGCTGCGCCTACGAGTATGAGCTCTCTGCGTGGCCCAAGCACAATTGTTGTTAAGACCCTACAATCTTCAGACCTAGTGACCGTTTGACTGCATGCTTTTTTCATCCTCGCGCATAACGCCACCCTTCTCATGCACATCGAGGGCCGTTACACGAAATCACAGTGAGTGCCGGTAAGACTGACCTCCAGTGAAACCTACCAGGGCATCCTTTGGGACAATCACTCTGTCCAGTGCCAGTACATTTCCACATTGAAGCAAGCTCTCTGGGGAAAGATGGTCGACGAAGGATGAAGACAAACGGACATCACCCTCAAGACGCTGGATCGGGTGAGGAAAGCAAAAGAAAGAACACAACACACAAATATGGGCATGTACGCGTTAAACCAGATGGAGAGAAAAAAGAGAGTAAGTTACATTTATAAAGACAGGTAAGTCTAACAAATGAGGACTGAGACCTCTACAACAGGGTTTTTACGCCTGAAAGCAGGTGCATGATTTAACAAGCAGGTTGTCAGTCTAGATTTTATGCGCAGATGGAGAAAAAGCACAGAATTTTTGTAATGAGATGAGAGAAGAAAGAGAGAGAGAGAGAGAGAGAGAGAGAGAGAGAGAGAGAGAGAGAGAGAGAGAGAGAGAGAGAGAGAGAGAGAGAGAGAGAGAGAAAAGAGAGAGAGAGACAGCGGGAGAGGGACAGAGAGAGAGAGAGATACTCACACTGCTCTTTAAGAAGTCCATGATGAGCTCTGCTTCATCTCTGCTGCTCACAGTTTCCAAGGGTGGAAGAGAAGATAGGAACTCAGGCATTTCAATGAGGACTTTCCTCAGTGGAGCAACGTCATCAGTGAGCTGAAGGGACATCGCAGAAGGCCGCACATACGAGACTCAGTTCTGAGCACAATGTAATCCTGGGATGCATTATACTGAGACTTGAAATTAGCACAAATTCACGAAATGAGGGGCACTCGACTAACCACATACAAACTGCTTCCCCATACAATTATTATGTTCAGATATCTAGCATTTCCTTGGCCATCAACATTAAATCTGCCTGCATTATTCCAGAAAAATAATCAGGGTTCTAGCCAAAGGGGGGTAGGGGGGCGCTGCGCCCCCTACTCCGTTTGCGCGCCCCCCTGTGAAAAAGTGTCGCCCCCTCCCCCCCCCCCCCCCCCCTACTCATTTTCCGATTTTTGTGTTTTTTCTCGCCATTCAACGAAAATACAGTCGATTCTCACTACTAGAGGGTTCAAAAAGGCACATTTGTGAGGGGTGAAGTCGGGGTTCACCCTGTATGTTGCATTTTGCATGGCAAGACAAGTTTGGACAACGGAAAAATGGGTCATGGGGTACCTTTTTCCCATGCCCGCCCCCCCCCCCCCCCCCCCCCCCCTACTATATTGACCTGGCTAGAACCCTGCACGGCATGCATAACGTGTACATGCTGCTAACACAGGAACATACAGTGAAGCACTACACGGCTCTGCCGTCAGCAAATTGCTACAATACTACCGCAGAATCCCATGTAACTGTTATAAACCCAAATCCTCGAACGAAAATAAATAAGTCAATTTTCGTCGGAACTCACGCCGGCCGCCAATACCCTGAATAATCCAGCGGCACATGCAGCGTCAAAAAGGAGATACATCTCACAACCACTGGTACAAGTGCCGATAGTGCCCCATTAGCCGCATCCATGTACCCCTTCCCATTAGCCACATCCATGTACCCCTTGTGCCTGGCCAAACGTTCCCAGTTGACCGTGGGTAGCAGCACGGCTGGCAAACGCCGCTCTCAGGCAGGATTTGAGCTAGCTATGCACAAGCCTAAGTCAAGGATGCATTCGAGTGTTGGCGTACAGGCCCATGGGCTTCTTCTCCCTAAATGTTGTATGCTCTGACATAAGAATAGCATTGTGCAAGTGACGGGGAATTGTAGTAGCTGCATTTTGACATACCGCATTTCCCCGAATATAAGTCGCACCTTTTTACACTAAACTTCAAGGGCAAAGAAGGGGATGCGACTTACAATCGAGAGTGACATTCTACTTATATGCATGTATTGAAACAATGTGGTTCAAACCTCAAAGTGAGGGTGCGACTTATAATCGAGCGCGCCTTACAATCGGGGAAATACGGTACATTATCATGGGATCCATACCTGGACATGCAGTGCCAAACCTCTAACTAAAGACCACCTGCCACTAAAGACCGCCTTTTAGGCCCCGAGGGGTGGTCTTTAGTCACAGGTTTTACTGGACATGTATATGTACATACCTTGATCAGCGAGGAGAAGGAGAGGGGTGATTGAGACCCAGCATTGGCCAGCAGATGGCGCAATATCCCAACCATTTGCTGGTATATGGAAGAGTGCAGACGACTATGCCAAATGGAAGTCGTGCTGCAGAGGAAGCTCCACATCAACTCAACCGAGACATGGTTCTGCAGTCCGGCTTGGTAGCTGGCTACAACAGCTTTCCACCAACTGACAGATAAACGGCATACACATGTACAAACAGCATACACACAAGGAACATACAGATGATGAGAGGAGGAGCTGCATCCTACTGAACAGCACAATGTTTCAGAAAATAGTAAACCCGCGCACAATATTTTAAACTCGGATGGAGAGCCAAGGATTAAATTTTTTTTAAAAGAGAGGACCAATATTTTAAGGAAGAGAAAAAAAGTTCTCAAAAAGACAATAAAAATATAATTTTCAGTCAAACCTGAAACCTCTCATGGCTTTGGTATAGAATAGCGGGGCATGCCCAAACATTCCGTGTTTCAGGCAGCCCGCCCGCATACAAAAACAGCACACAGTCGCAGTGCATACTGGCGGTGAAGAGCACGTGCAACATTGTGCCAAGATCTATTTAAAGGCACTCTGACCAAGCAACTCCTCAACTACACATCCAACTGCACAGAGCAGCACACATCACTGATTGGGTCGCCGTAAAAAAACCCGTGTTAAGTGGACAGCCTGTGTCTGCATGAAGGCCGGTTTTTCTGCGCAGCATGGCATGGTGACTAAAAGCAGCTTCAACTGTACATGCACAACGACCTCAATGTTCGACATACTCAACTGTCCATGTAGGCATCTGTTGAGGCGATGACTCAACGACCACCTGTAAAAAAGATGAGTACTCCGTCACGGTCAGTAAGCGAGAATCTCTGCCGACCTTGCGAATCATCCCCTGGCATACTTCCAATGCCCTGGAGCGCGTCTCCGAAAAGTCTGCGGTTTGAGCACTTTCAGTGATGATCTGCGACAAGAGCCTTGACTGAACACATGCACACACACGTACACACACACACACACACACACACACACACACGCAAAGAAGAGAACGCTAGTAGCATTAACAAGAACAGGCATACGGTAACTTGTAGAGAGCGCTGTCCAGCCTTGCTACAGCCCACAGTTAAATGGAACTCATGATGTGGCACGGGGGTAAAGTGGGATTCACAGAACGATTTCTGCAATGCGATATGTGATGCAACAGCCACAAAACTGGGAAACGCAAAATCACACCCACTGTGCAACATATGCCACCACCGCAACTGGCTGATTGCAGAAGTTGAGCTTGGATCAACATTCGCGATGCAACGTAATGTGCGATGTGGACTTGTTTGCAGCGAAGGTTAAACGTGAAGTTCAAGAGTTGTCTGTAGATTCGTACAAATTGCACCCAGCTATGCGTGGGCCAGGGAACACCTTCCGACGCCCCTGCTTAACATGCCATAGTATGCTATCCAGGGTGCTGTATGCACAGAAGATGTTTGACTACAGTCCATTTAAAAAATATAGACGCATGGTATCTTTGAAATATTTCAAATTTGGCTAGAGCTTTTTGAGAATTTTTTTCAGAATATTGCTCTGGTCCTTCCCGCAATTACTCTCATATAGATTTTTAAGCGATCAGATAACAAACGCCCAATTTCGAATTTTTGTGCACAAAGTGATCACAGATTTTATGTGGCATACATGCTGGCCTAACGGGTTTTTGAAATCACGCGTCTATATTCTTGAAATGCACTGTCGGTCATACCAGGTGGAGGAGCCGTTGAACAGGACTGACGTCGATCGCTTTCTGAATGTCGTCCAGGCAGTGACACAACTCATTGTTCATCGTCGCTGTTAGTTCGTTGCCATTCTTCAGCTCCACAAGGACAGAGCTAAGAAGAAGCTTCCAGTTAGCTGCCTTAGAATAGACGAAACCCACGTGGTGTCTCCTTCGTTCCAGAAGGTTGTAGACTATCTGCCGCTCATTGTCAAAGCCACGGATGTTTGAAAATGCATCAACGGCAGCCAAGGACGCCGCATCCGCAAGCAGCACGTCCTGCTCCATTTCAGACGCATCAGTAGCTTTTCCGTTCCTCTCCTGGAGAGCATACGTGAAGTCCTGGTGTGTATGTGTCACGCAGTCGGGCAGAAGTCTCACCGAGAAAGTCACCAGGTCGGCGTCTTTCTCAGAAGAAATTCCCTCCTGGCTTGCTTCGTCCCCTTGCTTGGCGCTGCTCTTTTGTGAGGCACACATGCTTCTAGAGACGACCTTTCCATGTGGAACTCTCCTAGTCAGGCTCCCGACAGCCGGCTGCTGGAACTGCATGTAGCTGGACCAGCAGCAGTACCTGGCAGCAGATACTCCACACGCACGAGCAGACGATAGCTGCAGCGCGCCAAAGATCGACGGACGAAGCGACATCATCAACTACGCACTGAGTATCATCGCCTTTCTTCTGGAAATCAGTCCAATTAGTCTGCCGTGGATCAGTGATCGACGAAATTGGGTAGTTAAAAAAAAATCTTTCAAAGTAGATGAAACATTAGGAGCTGATTGACGTGAGATATTAGTTCCTGCTTGTAGCTCCTCTACGCAATTACTAGAGGAAAACCATGCAGCACTTCAGCCAAAACAGAATTGCTTCCACGAAAACTCAGGAGGGGGTTATCATGTATTCAGATAGCTACTCCGGATCCTTTTTCAACAAACATTATGTAGATCGATCTTCACTTTGTTTTTCTGCATATATTTTTGAGCTTGGCCGATCCGACGACATGTACAGCTAGCTACATGCGTACCGCGTCGTTTCAAAGTTTTGACGCCATATCCGTTGCCATGCCAAGCCACACAAAGGCAACTAGGGGCATGTTCGATTGGTAAGGATCGGGATCGGGATCCAGATCTCAGATCCGTCGGATCCTGCAGAGTCAACTGGACACTTTTTTGGGCCTTGACTGTTGCCATGTTGACGAAAGTAATAAAAAGTCGTAGATCTACTCACGATCACCGCGCCAGTTGTACAAAAAGTCAGCAAGGTCTATCTAGCTCGATCCACGTGTGCGTACCACAATGTGTACAAAATTTTTTTTTTTTTTTTTTGTGTACAAAAACGATTTTTACCCGCCATATACGCACAAAGGGCACATTTGGATCCGTTGGATCCGGTCAACCCTGCTCCCCGAGGTGGGTTGACCGGATCCAAATCCGAAGGATCCGGATCCAGATTCGACCAATCGAAAGGGTGCGAATCCAGTGGATCCGGTGGATCGGGATCCCGATCCTACCAATCGAACATGCCGTTAGGCAACCAGGGACCCAAAATAGGTACAGTACCGGTAACCGGTCCGGTACGCGGTATGAAACGGGTAGCTGTAAAGTTTTTTTTTTTTTTTTTTTTTTACTTTAGTTTTTTTAAATCAGTGAGCATATATGTCATGAAAATAAATCCGAGAAGAAAGAAAAAGGCCCAACCCTGCCCTGCCAGTTATTTGGACTTACGGGGGTCGCCATGGCAAATAATAAACATAAAACTGCACACGTTCGGGCTCTCCGCCTTCTCCGTGAAATTCATAGGGTACCCTGTAAAAAGGCCCTAGGCCTATATAGGCCTGTGGGACTGCCCTATTCAAAATTTAATAATAATAATAATAATAATAATAATAATAAATTATAATACCGTAAAAGAAAACTAGAGGGGAAAAAAGAAGCAACAATGAGGAATAGGAACTGATTTAGGTAGCTGTAAAGTGGAAACATTATAGAACTACAAACTACAGTAGTACACTTTTTATAGAAGTCATGTACAGTTGAACATCGATTATCCGTACATCGACTATCCGACCATTAAGCCACTCCGTCATTGCACCTGGGCTTCCTAAGTACGACCCCGCGGACTCAAGAGGCTTCACTCTTGGAACACACTCACATGACGACACCATCGTGATGATAAGCAAAGCGTATGCAGAGGCAGTACACTTTCGACCCAATGCCATCCCCGTCCCGAAAGGCGAAGCCGGTCGGAACTTCATCCAAACTCTTGCTGGCTATTTTCGCTGTTTTGGTACAGCTGGGGGCTACGAAAAGCATGCACTGATGATCGCCATGACGTTCCAAATGCTGTTGCTACAGAAGCCGGTGGATCCCAAAGCCTCGCCTCAATCGCACTCCAAGCGACTTGAGCACCGGTTGGACCTCTGGCGACAAGGTGACATTGATGACTTGCTGCACGAGGCCCGCACGATCCAAGAACAGCTCAGCGATCGAGCCAGCACCACCAGACAGAAAACTAAACCAAACGAAGATCGCGCACGCCAGTTCGCGTCGATGGTGCATGATGGTAAAGTGAAGTCAGCGCTGCGCCTTCTCAGCGAAGATTCCTCGGGAGGGGTCCTGCACCTCGAGGACCGCATTGGGGACAACTCTGTTCTGGATTTGCTCCGATACAAGCACCCCGTGGCAGAGCCTTTGCATGACGACGCTGTCATTACTGGCGATCCACCACCACAACCCCACCCAGTGCTTTTTCACTGCTTAAACCGGGACGCAGTACGGAGGGCTGCCCTTCATACCCATGGCGCAGCTGGGCCATCTGGGGTGGATGCCGATGGGTGGCGAAGAATGACAACTGCGTTTTCCGGTGCCTCGGATGAACTGTGTGATAGCTTGGCTAACTGTGCCCGCCGCATTGCCACGGCTTACGTCGATCCAGAAGCCCTAGAGGCATTTACAGCTGCCAGGCTGATCCCGCTGGACAAGAAGCCTGGCGTTAGGCCGATAGGTATTGGAGAGACGGTCCGCAGAATACTGGGCAAGGCGATCCTTGCAGTGACTGGGGACCTTGTGCAGTCTGCCGCAGGCTCTCTTCAGCTCTGTGCTGGCCAACCGAGTGGGATCGAAGCTGCTATACACGCCATGCACGACACCTTTCACAATCCGGACGTGGATGGAGTGCTCCTTGCGGACGCCTCCAACGCCTTCAACCGTTGAACCGCAAAGCCTGCCTCCTGAACATCCGCCATCCTACTGCCCGGCACTGGCCCCAGTGGTCATTAATACGTACCGATCCCCCGCTCGTCTCTATGTCGACGGAGAAAGTATTCTATCGTGTGAAGGCACCACCCAGGGTGACCCCATTGCCATGCCTATGTATGCCTTGGGTGTCACCCCGCTTATCGCGGATGTTATTATTATTATTATTTTTTTTTCTTATTTTGTTAGGGATTTCCCAACAGGCAATGTTGCCTTTTTACTGGGAACCCTAAATGAGACTTTGTGTGAGCGCGAAACAAAGCAGGCGACTCGGCCAGGCGACAAGATGGAGGCAGCGCATTCCACCTGTCGGCACCAAGATACGCAATGGAATGGAAACCATACCGGGAGTGGCAGGCAGGCAAGACAAGAGCAGCTGTAGCTTGGCCCCGAGTTGTGGCAGCAGAGTGTGGGCCAGTGCAACGGGGAGTGAATAGGAGGCTGAGAAGTGGGCTAGATAAACCATGCAGACAGCGAAAGACAAAGACGTATTGCTTGAAATTTAAGCGTTGCTCTAGTGTGTTGCTTCTGCCGACGTGGTACAGGAATGGTACGCGGATGATTCTTCAGCTGGCGGCCGCCTACGCCCGCTACGGCGATGGTGGGATGACCTGAATGCAAAAGGGTCGGATTATGGGTACTTCCTGAATGCAGCAAAGTCGATCCTGCTCGTGAAACCCGAGGCGTACGAGGAAGCCACTGTGATTTTTGCTGGTACTGGTGTGCGTATTGAGAAGGATGGTTGTCGTCATCTAGGAGCAGCCCTTGGCACGCCGTCCTTTGTGGAAGAGTACGTTGCTAATAAGGTCACCGACTGGGTCCAGCAGATTCGTCGTCTGGCTGAATTTGCATCGACTCAACCTCAGGCAGCCTACAGTGCCTTCATTCAGGGACTACAGCCGCGGTGGTCCTTTCTCTCAAGAACCCTTGAGGATGCCCCTGCACTGTTTGGTCGTCTTGAAGACGTGATTCGGGACATCCTGATCCCAGCTCTGACAGGCCACGCGCCACCGTCTTCTCAGGAGCGTGCACTGCTGGCCTTCCCATGTCGCCATGGTGGTCTTGGCATCACCGACCCGACATCTATGGGCGGCAACTACCGCAATTCACGCAAGATCACGACATCCCTGTGGAAGAAACTAATCGCCCAAGATTCCTCCCTAGATGGCACCGCGGCGCAAGTTCTCCGCATGAAGGCAGAGGTACGTACGACTTTGCGAACCAACCTCCTGGCAGCCGTGAAGTCTTTCAAGGATGGTGCTGGAGCAGAGCTTGAGCTGCAATTGACCCTAGCTTCGGAGAAGGGGGCCTCCAGCTGGCTGACTTGCCGCCCTCTAGCCATCCATGGATTTCGTTTGTCCAAGGCGGAGTTTCGCGATGCCCTCTGTCTCCGGTACGGGTGGACACCAGCACGCCTGCCATCAGGATGCGTCTGTGGCCATGGTAACTTTGACGTCACCCATGCCTTGTCCTGCAGTACTGGGGGATTCCCCAGTAAAGTAAAGTAAGTAAATTATCGTGTCCGTTCCCGAAGGGAACTCACGACGGCCGCTAACACTGGTAAATCCTAGCGGCAGATGCAGCGCCTAACGGTGGGGGTGAGTGGATAAGTCTCACAACCACTGGCACAAGTGCCGAGAACGACCCCATTAGCTGCATCCATGTAGGCAGGCACAGTGGGTTGGTCAAAGACCATGATTGAGATACGAGAGGTACCTGGTTCAAGTGAGAGAGAAAGCCTCACCCATGAGGGCGTAAAAATCCTCACGGGGACTCGACGTGCACTTGTGGTGCTCCAGAAACCCGTACCGTGCAAACTACGCATATCCCGTACATTACACCGCACGTACCACCGCGGGCAACAGCAGACCTGCTTTCGCTGTCATGCTTCTGATCACATGGCCAGAGACTGCCCGAAAAAGGCGACTGCAGCCAGCAGCACTGGGGCCCGATCGTACGCACAAGCAGTTCACTCTGTCAGTATGAGCCAACAGCAACAGCAACACGATGCAGAATGCGTACAAGTAGACACCCAGCAGGACCAGGAGCGCCAGCAGCAGCCTTCGCCGCCTCCACAGCAGGAGCTGCAGCGTCAGCAGTCGCTTCCACAGGAGAGCGGTGTCTCATCCCAGCAACCCCGTCCTGTAGGCACAACATTGCCGTCCAAAATACCTGTGCCCCATCCAGCGCGCCTGCAGGCCCCGGTCACGACACCCGTCATGCCTGCATTTCCCAAAGCACGTGGCAAAGCTGGCCACTCGTCTCCAGATGAGGCTGGTTTTGTCCTGGCAACAGGAAAACATACGTTCACTCCCAAAGTTCTGACCGGCACGCGTCCCCCATCCCCGGACCCTCAAGTCGCCTGGGCACACCAAGCCTCAGCGCGTGAGATGCAGCAAGTGGCTGATCGAGTGAACAGCCGCAGAAGCAGCCGCTAAGTAGATAAGTAAACTTTCTGTTTTGTGTTTGGTGCAGTCTTATGTCAGGATGCCCCCTTTCCTTCTCTAATATTACCACATTTACTCTTAATCCCAATGCCAATTCATTTTTCCCTCGCGCTATTGTGCAACCCCCCGCACCACAGCTGCGTCTACTGGGTGAGATTCGGGTCGGTTTCTTAAACATCTGCAGTCTTCGACACAAGGTTGCAGAGCTAGAAGACCTTATTAACCTGCATA